TAACTAAAAACAATAAACTCCCTCGCCAGTATTTGTTTATGAAAGCCACATAAGGGCTACGAGAGGAGAGGGCATTGATCACCTCTCACCCATCCACAAACAACAATTATTAGAAAAAAGTGTCAGCCAACATCACACATAACTCACTTTGGTCTCATTGCTTGTAGTGTTTTAAAAATGGAAAACAATCTGTGCCGTGATAAGTGTTCCTTAAATGCACGCACCTGTGCGACATACGCACGGGCCAAGAACACAACAACATTTCACGCTGCACATTTGCCAAGATACCAGACGAGACGTGCCACCAGACAGCCCGACATCGGACAAGGTTCATCAAAGGAACAAGTAAGCTGACCTGAGGGAACCTACCAGGTATGATCTTCATCTAAGGGAGAAAGAGGAGGCCCGAGGAGTAGAGAGCTGGACAATTGCGGGAAACGACGCGACTGGAAAGAAGCTACTGTTTGTGTGCTTGCCCACTCCTCTTTCTCTTTTGCTGTGGTTAACTTTGACAGACTGTGCCGTCTGTTTTAGCCTGCGCACCAGTGACCAAGTGAGGGAGGGCTGATGGTATTGGGTGGGGGGGGTTTGTGGCAGGCAGAGCTCAGAGACGGGGCAGTGGGCTGACAGAAAGGGGCTGGGTGGTCATGGGAAGGGTTATAAATATCTACACAGAGCCAGATGATCGCACTGTGTCGCACTTAGAAATGATGGCAGTGCTATGGCAGGGCACTTGGATGCATTCGGCCCCTAGAGATGACCCCCATATGCTGCAAACACAAACAGGCACCGAGACGCTAACATGCAGCTTTGATGACATTGGTCTCAAGTTTTATATCCGGAATCTATCTCCGCTTACTGCTGACACTTAAACAGATTATGATCACAGGGCTTAGCATAGCCACAAATTGGGTAAAAGAATTGACTCAAGTAGAAATAACCATTAGAACAAATCAAAAAACCTAAAAAATGTATATAAAGGTTTTCAAATTATTCTACCTTCCAATGCGCTTTGATTTAAGCCCACTTCATTTCAAACGATTTTAAAGGCTTTGACACAATGGCAAGCATCTTTTGGGTCTGTGGTAAGGCCTAAAGCGCTCAGCTGTCAGTCAACCACATTGCTAATCCTTTTTTGTACCATAGGAATGTCTGTTTATTTTACTGCATCTCTTTAGTGCTTCAGTTGTGTCTCTACAGTCATATTGAGAGGGCCATTTCATCAGAGAAGCAGCAAAGCAGTTAATGGCCATATACTTATGTGATGAAAGGTTATTATGAAGTGGTATGAATCCTGCAGGCACTTTGAGTTAGTTTAGTGATTGACTTTTGCGGCATGATTCTATAACTGGAGCTTCTGAGCCTTCAGTGCTCATCTTCTATTACTTTTGGGGACAGAGCAATGCAAAACAATATCTATAAATACTATGTTTAATATACATTGATTGTGGTGTTGACATGTGGTATCATTTAGCTGTAATCTTGAAAGCCTTTCCATTGCATGCATGCGCCTCCTGTTCAGCGACCCCACTCCCATCTCTGTGAGGAGTGAGAGGACAAGTGCCCAAAAAATTACAATTGTAAACCGCTTTGTGACTCTGGTCTGTGAAAGGCGGTATATAAATAAAGCTTACTAAGCTTACTTACTATTTGACATTTGAAGAGACTAGTTTAGATTTCCATCCTATGTGAACTTTGGGTCCTATAGATGGACGTGAGAAACCGTGACACAGAATTGCTCAACTGCAGCGAGGCTTTGGATAAGATTGCAGGGAATTCCTTCAGCTTCATGGACATTCCCCTGTGCCTTGACAAAATCCTGACCTAAACATTCATGTTTCAGCACATTCCCAAAAGGTATTCAAGGCTAGTGTCTGCAGGGGGAAAGCACATCTTATCTATCAGCAATGGAATGTGCCGGAATATACTATAGTGAAACATAGGTAGGATGATAATAATGATAATAATGAATAACAAACATAACGCACTGGTTTTATTTAGCAATTTTTTGCCCTCGGGCACACTGACAGAAGCAAGCCAACCAGTACGTGCCTTCAGCCCCAATGACCACCACCAACCATTCATGTAACTGGCGTAAAGTCCAGTAGGACTTTTTCCATACAGGCTCTGCTATGATGTAATTTTTGTTGTTGATAGGAGTGAGTAGCATGGTGCCTTAACTATTGATCAGGTCATGTCTACAGTGCTACAGGATCAATTGTTTTGTAAGTCTTCTAGTGAGAGGGTCCATCAGCAGAGAACACCTCCCAAACAATTGGTCCTATAGCATTCTTGAGACAAATCTAATGGAAAGTAAAGACACTACAGCTGAACACTCTTACAGCTGCTGGTTTACAAAGTCAAAATTGTAAAAAAAAAAAAAAATGCATAATGTACCTTTAACACAAGAGTTTGGAGAAATACAATAACACTGATCTGTGTAACATCACACAGCAATGAGTATGGTCATGGGCAACACCTCAAATGGTAAGACCTTTCCAGCACCAAGGGAAATGACTAATATCACAACTATCTGGACCAAGCCCTCAATATATTACACATGGTATCAACATGGAAAGAGCAAACTGTAGCATGCAGTATAATGCTCACTTCTCAAACTGTTATTCATAAAACATTGGGCATGAACATCTATAATCGCAACAGTCCCCTCCTAAATTTAATTGTCCAAAACAGCATTTGTGGGACTGATGAGACTGGGGAAGTTGGTCAATATTTAAGCTGTAAAGGCTGTAACTTGTGATGCATATTGCTTAAGAATGGGCACCGCATCAATTGAACTTTTGCAAGAGTCTTCTGAATCATCTGTGTCACAAGATTTAATAGTCACTAACATTAACATGGTGACACATTTGAAATTAACTAATCATTCAAAGGCATACAGTATCTAGTCATTTTTAGTACAGTAGAAAATCAATCTGGGGTGTGTCCTTGTTGCAAAGTTCCATCGTGAAAGACGTTATTTTGCAACAGCAAGATAAGTAAATTACATACTAAAAAGGATTGGCTTGTAAAAACGGGGCATGGTTGCTCAAGTTATTTACTATCATGAGTAAAGGCAGTGTTGACAGCCAGTAGAGTGGCAGATACCATCTACAAAGCCAGCAAGTGCAGACAATGTCCATTCATACACTGACATTCAAGAGAACAACAGGATGGAAATGTTCAAACTCGTAATTCTTTCTGATTTGTATGGTTTGTGTGAGTCACTGCATGCGGTTATAATGAGAGGCACACCAGTCTTCTGAAGCAGCCCATTTCACAGTCAGAGAAGTTTGCAATGGGCATCATTTTGGAGATGAAAACAGAGGACGTTTCTGGTATGTCTGCAAAGTCATTGAGGCTAAGTGGCGCTGGTGCCATGTGTGGGTAGTGGTTAGATGTCTTTCCCAGAATGACTGTTATTGCCAACCAGGTACTTTTACCATACAAGTACATTCATAAAATGAGAACAAAGTTTTTCTATTGTTCATGCTAGAACTACAATAGCCACTTTGAAACATCAAAGAATTTCCAGACCACTATTGTAGATAAGGCAAGGTCACGTTAGTTAAATACAGTATGATATTACTGATAGAGCTCATTTAAATGGGCATCAGTGGACAGTAGATGTCAGCAGTGGGTCATAAACTCCATCACTGACAGACAAACTTAAAAAGAAACAATGCTTTAATATTTTTTCCACTGCATGTGAAAGGGTAGTGAATATAAATGAAAAGAAAATATGCCAAGCACATTTGAGCTTAATGACTTGCATATGTTCAATGTGATGCACGTGATTATGGATATCACAAGATTTCTTGATGATTATCACAAATTAAACAGAGGACTTGGGCTGTTAATTGAATCCAGATCTAGTGTGACTCCAAACAAACTGACTGACTCAAACTTTCTGGCACTGATTTTGGGAACACTACCAAATGACAACACCCAAGGGGTTTTGTTTAATTTCTAAATGTCTTACAATTGATATTCCATGCATGTATTACACAATTTACAGATAATGCAAACTTTAGTAAAAAAAAAAAAAGTACAAATAATAATAACGTGTCAGCTTTTGGCAAGTCTGTCACATGAACATGAGTCAACAAACCAATTTTCAAAGCATGGTTTCACTTCAGCCTTGACACATGCATTTTTCTCACTTCCTACAATTCTTTCAAGTCATAAATTCTTTATCAGTACCTTTCGAAAAGACACATGCCATTACACAAAGGAATGCAAAATCTATGTCTATCTCATGTGCAAGGCAGATGAGGGGAGAGGCACCAGAATTGAGAACATTCTTATAGTGTAAAAAGGCAAGTGACCACGCCTCCTCTGAGTCAGTCTGGCTCTAACCGTGTCTGCAGGGAGCAGGCGAGGCTGGATCTCTGAGAACTGCCCCACCTTGCTGGAAGAGCTACAGGTCTGCACATTCTTACATTGCAAACAAGGCTTATTGATTTTGTAAAAACAACAAGCACTATGAAGTTATGAATCACAACTGAAAATGTGCACAAAAAAAACCTTGAGTAACTTGGCAGAACATTTGTTTAACAGTTAATCACTGATGGCAACTCATGTTGTATCAGAGGAAGATATAGTTCATGCTTTCATTTATAATTAAAGATATATTTCTGAAATTTTGCAAGTAAAAAAACTGACATGGACAGACTATCCTGGACACACAGTGTTAACATCTACACACACATATTATATCACAGCCTTAAGACCTCTCACTGTCTGGGGAAAGTAATCCTTCCAAAGACTTGCACCCACATGGCAACTTAGATGGTATGTGTAAACTGTTTTCAAATGACACTATGCATAAGGGAATCACAACAAATACTGTATCAACTGGAGCAAATATCATAGTCGTGACAGAGCCAGTGTTGTATCGAATGCACAATAGACCCATAGTCAAATATTATCCCACACATTCAAAACAAAGGCCCTTCACATGCACATAGAAAGTGGAAGTAGTAAGCTGAAAAACAAACCTTCTACGAAGTTAAACGTCTTGTCGTCTGGCTCCATAAGCGAGTGGTCCCATTCCCCTTCAGCAGCTCCTGGTACAGCCTGCAACAGTGACCTCTCAATCGCAATCTCCTCCAAGACATCCATGTCCAGCTCATCCTCTTCGTCCTCTTGTGTCACAGGTGGCAGAGGCGACTGTCCCCCTGCTCCAGCCTCTGGACTAACTATCCGTTTCACCTCAACTATCTCCTCCACTACCACTATTTTCCTCCTCATGTTCAATTCGTCTGTTTCACAGGACACAGAGTGAATATCAGAAACGGCAGGTGTGGTGGTGACAGAGGGTGTGTCCTTCACCAATTTCTTCTTCGCGCCTGGAGTCTGCGGCAGCGGCTTTGAACCAGCGTGCCCTTCCTCTGTGCTGCGCTCTGCTGCCTGACTTGTCCACTGCTGTTGTGCAACTCTGGGAGGCTCTGGGTGCGGGCGGAGGGGGCTGTCCTGCTGCTGAGCTGCAGCTGCTCGTGCTGTTGGGAGCGCTGGGGCCTGTGACGCTAACTCTCCGCTCTCTCCCTTCTCTGTTGAGGATGTTTCTGCCTTTGGAGCTCCCTGCATGTGTTTTTCAGCACGGGGCAGAGCCGGCTCCACCTCTCTTTTGTCTACTGGGGCCTTAGGGAGCACAGCTGCTGCCTGCACAGTTTCCTCACGATGCAATCTTTCAACAGCAATCTTTGGTTGAGCATTGCTTTTTGTCACTTCTGGGGTCACCATGTAGTCGTCCCTCACAGTATCCTTGGTTGGTTCAGTGTCCTTGGTAGATGGCAGGGCTTCTGCTTCCGGCAACAAAGCAGGCTCAGTGTTTATGGTTTCAGATAACTGGGCTTCAGCATGCTTTTTCCCTTTACCTTTCCTCTTAGACTTGCCCAGCTCTTGAGTATTTTTAACAGGGCTAAAGGGGGACTTAGGCTCAATAGCAGGCTTGGCGATTTTATCTGTGATCTCAAGCTGTGTTTTTGTCTGCATTGTCATCGTTTCACTTTTTGATATGGGCTTTTTGTTTAAATCTATGTTTTCCTTCGAACTGGGTATTTTTTCTACATCATTATTTTGTGCAAGGTCTAGTCTTTTAGTAGGTCCTTGAGAAATGACAGGTTTATCTCTTGTCTCTATTGAAATGTCAATTATTTGCCCTTTGTCATGGCTAGGCTTACCCTCAGGTGACCCTTTTTCAGCGGGAGCAACACTTGTTTCTAGTGTATTTTTGTCCTGAGACAGGATTCCTGTAATTTTTTCATTAATTTCACTTTGAATTTCTGGGGTCTGTTCAGTAGTAGGAGATCTCTTCTTCTTTCGTTTGGCTTTTGAACTGGGCCCAGTCATGTCCTTTTCAGTTTCAGTTATGGGAGTTAGAACTTCAAGACCCTCCAATGATTTGTCGTTGTTTTTGACCGTGGGAGACACCTTTAATGTTTGTGTGGTGCCTGGGGTGGGCTTTACAACTTGTGTTGTTTCTGGCAATGTGGCTGGACATTCTTGGCAGATTTCTATTTTAGTTGGTTGAATAGTTATTCTCTCTTCAGCATGCTTTCCTTTCATCTTTTCTTCATCCACTGCTTCTGCACTGGAGTGTTTGAGATCTGGAGAATTTGGTTTTGACTTTTCTTCAGTGCCAGTACCTTGTTTTTTAGCTTGATTTTGAGAAGCTTTTTTAGTTATTTCAGATTTTGAATCAGAATACTGATCTTGATTTGTTATTTCCACAGGCGATTCAGTTTTAATCATTTTTGAAATGGGTTTAGTTTGAGTTCTTTCTTTAACAGATACTTTTTCTTTAATTACAAGCTTATCTTCAGTGCTGACTGACACCTTGTTTGTTTTGACAACACTGATATTTTGTGAATCTTGATCAGACTCCACTAGAGGCACTGTTGCGCTGAGAGAACCTGACTCACTGTTTCTCATATTTCCAGTCTTTGGCTCTTCAGTGGAGGAAGGTGAGAGAGGAGCAGCAGTTGACGTCATAGTTTGTGCCTCTGTGTGATTCTCTTCTCTTACAGCAGAGTCACTTGGCAACTCACTCACAGACTTTTTCTTTTTTCGCTTTGATTTTGTTTCTTTGGCAGGAACGATGACATCTTCAGTCTGTTCTGTAATTGATGTCTCCTGGGTGTCTACATGTAAATCAGGGATTTCCTGTGTTAATTCAACTTTAGTAATTTCCTGAATCATCACAGTTTTTAATTGAGTATTTTGAGGTTCAACATCTCCTAGTTTTGTGTTGGTCTTCTCCTTAGAGGTGGTTACCTCTTGTATAGTTTTTCCATAAGTTATTTTCTCAGTTCTGGATGTTGACAGTAAAAGTTCCATCTGGGGGGATTCTGAGCTCGTAGACACAGTCTCTTTATTTTCTGAGCTTGTGTCTTTTGAGATCTCACTCTCTTGTTTCTTCTTCTTACTCTTTGATTTAGAACCCACTTGTGCCCCCTTGTGAGATTCACTTGCCACTTCAGGTTTGCATTCTACAGTCACTTTTAAAGCCTCTGTTGGCATTTCTTTGATAACTTTCTCAGCTTGTGCTCCCTTAGTATTAGGCACACTCTTCATTTCATCAATTTCTTGTGTGATTTCAACCTTAGTTTTTTTCTGAATGGCTAATTCTTTCTCAACTGCAGTCACTTTTGGTCTTGTTGTCTCTTGATCAAGTTTGCCAACGTCAACATTTTCTGTAATAGTGCTGCCCTTAGGCTCAATCTGGGGAACAGTTGAGTTGGGATAAATTGAATGAGTATCATCTGTTATCACTTCTGTTATCACTTCTGTTGAAATTTCATGAGCACGAGAGAAAGGAATATCAGTTGGTTCTTCCTCTGTTTTAGTTTCATCTTTTGCTGCTGGCTTGTGCTTAGGCCTACATTCTTTGGGCGACTCATTCACAGATTGTTTCTTCTTTCTTTTTGATTTAGAGTCTTTGCCAGTTGTATTTATGTCTTCTGTTACTGTCACAGACTTCAGCTCATCAGCAGCGTTCTCAGGCTCTCCGTGTATAATTTCACTAACTGTTTTCTCTTTGGGACAGTTTGGCTTCACGCTGTTTTCACAGACAGTGCTGCTCTCTGCCACAGATGCAGTTCCTTTATATTCCTCTTGTAGCAGGTCTGAGCTCAATGAAGCAGTTTCCTTTTCTTTGGAAATGAGTACAATAGGTTTCACATTAGTGTCTTTGTTCTTTTGCTCTATACTAGTGTTAGTTCTAATAGATGTAACCGCAATGACACTTTTCTCATTAGTCAATTCTAGGACAGTTTTTTGGCACATTTCTTTGTTTTCCAATTCTTCAGATGCCTCACTCTCTGACATCTTTTTGTGTCGTCTTGGTTTAGTACTCAAAGGGGCCTCTGATTGAGCAGCACACCTGGATTCATGCACTGTGACTTTAGGAGCTTCTGGTGTTATGTCTTTGATGGCGGGAGGATTTAACTTGTCAGTCTGTTGCACAATAGGTATCTCTGCAGTAGATCGACTTGTCTCATGTTCTTGATTAGTTAGCAAAGTGTTTATTTCTGCCATATTTCTATCACTGTCTACCTTAGTGGTTTTCTGTGTCTCTATTTTATTTTGATTGTCCTCTGTTTCTTTTATGCTTGAATCCTGGACAGTTACAGTATTTTCTTTTGAAACCTTTACGTTGTCACTAAGTTCCATAGGTGCAGTGGAGCTCTCTACAGAAATGTCACTCTTTGTTATTGGTTCTTTACCTGTCTCAGGTTTCTCAGCATACTTTTCAGGTGGTGAGGATATGGCAGTAACATCAGCTTGTTGAATGTGACTGTCTGAAATGGTGTATGTAGAGGTCTTACCCTTGGCATTGGTCTCTTTAACATTTGCAACATGTATAACTGTCTCCTCATTTGTAGCTTGATTTACTTTGGATCCATCCTGTTTTTGAGTTTCTAGTGGAGAAACCAGTGGTTCATTCTTGGTTAATAATTGGCCTTGAGTAACTGCAACTTTAGTTTGAACTGCCCTCGCCTCTTTCACACTACTTGGTCTCTGGCTGGTCCCTGAGTCAATGCCATCATCAACATCATAAATGGTCTTTATTTCCTCTTTAAAGGTTACATGTTTCACTTGTTGTTTGGCATTATCTGCTAACATATATGTCGGAACGGGAAGATTTATATTTGTGCTCTCAGTTACAGTCTCTTGAATAACTTCTACAGAGAGTTTTTCATTTTTAGCAGACATTGGAATCACATCACTTCTCCGTACAATTAATGTCTTGGGTACTTCTTGAGATATAACAGGTTCTTCAATTCCTGTTTTTTCTTTAGACATTTTATTAATAATTGTATTTGTAACCACTTTAACTTCATCAGGTTGTGTCTTTGCAGCGTTGGAAGCAACGTCCTTTTTAACAACAGTGTTTTCCTCTGATAACTCATCTTTAACCAACTCTTGAGCTCTTGTCTTTGGATTTTCCATTGTTGGGATATGCTCTTCTTGTTTTTCCTCATTTAATTTGATGTCATGAACCACTTCAGTATCTACTTTCTGTGTCTTTGTCAACATTTCATGGGAGTGGCCTGATACTTCTGAAGAAACTGTCTTCATTTGCTCTTGATCTAGCTCATCAAGTGGTGAATATTGAATTATCTTTCGTTCATTTCGTCTGTCTTTTGTAGGGTGCTTTCTCTTTCCAGTTTTAACTACTCCCCCAACTAAGTTATCTATGGAATCTTGATTTACTTTTTCCATTTGACTAGTTTCCATCTTCTCAATTACTACTCTCATTTCTGACTGGACATGAATATTTGTTTCAGTAACATGAACATGTTTCTCTGCAGTTGTTGGTTCCTCTGAAAGCAGTGTATCACTCGAAGAATCAATCTCTCTATCATGTGTTTTGTTTTCCTCAGGAACTGCTTTCATTTGCACCTGTGAGAAATCCTGCTTTTTATCAACATCAATCTCTGTACTTGGGTCTTTGGGCAAATTCTTTTCTTTTGATTTGTAGTACCCTGCAACTTCTTGAGATTCCCCTTGAGCAAGAACTGTCACTTTAAGAGCCTCTGGTGTTTGTTCTTTGATGACAGGAGGAATTATCTTTTCGGTTTCAGCCTGTTGTGTAATAGAAATCTTAGTTTTCAGTAAAACTGGTTCTTGAGTTTCTTGCAGCGCAGTTGATCGCTCTTCAAGCTTGAGACCTTGTTTAAGGTCCACTTTATTTATTTCCGGAACAGTCATTGGTTCCAGCTGTGTTTCACATGTCATCCCTCTTGTTTCCATTGGCGGCACTACTGAGCTCACAGAGGCAGAATCTTTTTTCCAGATCACCTCTTCAATGGTTTTATCGGTGGCTTCCTTTATTTTAATTATTTCTGATTGAGATATTTCTCCCTTGTTTGACAGATCTATATTTTCATACTTGGATACATGTAAAACAGGAATAACATCTTGTTTTATATCTGTGTTATTTTCTGAATTGGATTGCAATTCGTTTTTAGCTTTCTTCTTTTTCTTCTTTTGGGATTTGACAGCACACTCCTGGTTAGCTTGACAATCCTTTGGAATAATTTCATCATGTACTGAAACCATAGATGTTTGACCAATTAAAGTATCAGTTGTTTGTTCAGCTTGCATTGTCGTTATTTGTTCTTGGATTAAATGTGGTGTAGTCTTAGTATTTTGACTCAAACCTCCTTGTAAATCACATGTTGTCTTTGGTTTTATATCAACACAGATTTCTTTTTCTGGTTTGGCACCACTCAAATTAACAGCAAGATCTTTTCTATTTTCTGTGTTGTTTTTTGTAGTGATATGAGGAGCCATATTCTTGGATTCATCTTTGGTGCGGTTTTCTAGAGATTTTTCAGACACCTTTTTAATTTTCTCTTCATCAGTGTCAGTTCTAACTCCATATTGTTGATTAGACTTATTATGTTTTTCTTGAATGGGTCCCTCTATATCGATTTTGCCAAGCTGAAGATCACTACTCTTCTTTTTGGATTTAGAACTTTTCTCTGTGACTG